GGAATCAAAATGTGTCAGGCGTATCGAATCCAGCACAATTGGGATGCGATTTCCGGGATGCCGACGAATCTGTACGGTCCGAACGACAATTTCCACCCGGAGAACTCGCACGTCTTGCCGGCATTGATGAGGAGGTTTCACGAGGCCAAGGTCAACGGAGCAAAAGAAGTAGTGGTGTGGGGAACCGGAAGCCCTCTCCGGGAGTTTCTCCACGTCGACGATCTGGCCGATGCCGTCGTCTTCCTCATGGAGCAATACAGCGATTTGAGCCATTTGAATGTCGGAAGTGGGAAGGAAGTGAGCATCAAGGAGCTGGCTGAATTGGTGAAGGAAGTGGTGGGATTTGAAGGAGATCTTGTTTGGGACAAATCAAAGCCTGATGGAACTCCAAGGAAATTGATGGACAGCTCCAAACTTGCAGAATTGGGATGGAATCCAAAGATTTCTCTGAAAGATGGCCTTGTGGATACTTACAAATGGTATGTTCAAAATGTGCAGCAATGAGAAAAAATGCAGGTGAGTCCACCATTTTCAGTGATCTGTTTGATCCTTTTGTTGTGATTGTAGTTTATAAATTTGTATTACTGAATCAAATTTGCTAGATCTGAAGCTCTTTTGTCTATGGAGATCACTGCTGTCAGATCTTTGTTTGCCAATTCTGTCGATCTTGTTATAGAGTGAGCCAGTATGTAGTTAGAACAATTGAGAATAAGAATGCAGCTTATGATCATTGCCCTTCAACCTTTTTCTTCCCCATGTTCTGGTAAGCTTTGAATCTGTTAATAGATAATTTTTTCTTCTTACATTTAATTTTCTAAGGCTTAGGGAAATTTGATGATGATGATGATGATGCTTAAGGCTGGATTTGAAATGCTTGTTGGTGTGTCTGGAAATCTGTAGTGAGTGATATTTGATCTTTAATGGAAGAAAATTCCCCATTCGTTCTTGTATGAGGTACCTCTCATGGCAATCCAAAATTGGCACTCTTTTTTTCCTTTGTGGGTACAGCATCTAGGGTCGGGATTTGAATTTACAATCTTTTGGTCGGTGATAGATGCATTACCAGTTGAGTTATAGTCACGTTTGCCCAAAATTTACCATTAGAAGAAAGAAAAAGGGAACCCCTTTTTAGCAGAGGATGAGGTATTTTTGACATAATTGAGTTATCAAAGGATTATGGTAATGTTTTCATTTATTGTTTCAAAACTTTTGGTAACTATGTCTAAGAAATTTTGAAAATACAAAATCAAAATTTTTTTTTTCACGTTTTCAAAATTTTTCAAAACATATATAAAAATATTATTCTATCCTTTTTTTTATTTTTCGAATGCATAATTTATATAAAAAAATAAATATAGTATAAAATTTTTGAATATTTAATTTTAAATTTTATATAGTACTTTTATATTTTTTTAATCTAAAATTTTAGAGAGGAAGAAACAAGAAGGGGTCGTAAACATGTTCTAATAAGAAAGGGTTACCAACCATAATTAATTGACTTAATTCTATATTTTTTTAATTGAAAAAAGAGAAAACGTAAAATAAGAAACATGCGGAAATTATCAAATAGGCCCAGAAATAACGGTGTTTCACACGTTTTGTAGGGGGAAATATAACATTTCTCATAGTGATTAATAATGTATATATATTTTTTAATATTGCATAGATCTTTTTACGATATAATGAATTGTTGATTTATCAAAGAAAAATCAATGTAAACATCAACGGTCAGCGAAAATCTAATACCTATTCACAAGGATAAAATATTTGTTTTGGTCCCTATTTGTAAAATTTTAATACAAATTTTATACACATTGGGAACTCTTTAATACAAATTCGTTATTATTTATGTTTATATCTCAAGAAATTTAGTGAGTGAAATATCGTGCTAAAATTATGATTAAAAAATGAGATAAAAATAAAAATGACAAACCAGGTCACTTTTTTAAATTCCAGATATCAAATATAGATGTTTTGAAAGTAAGACTATGATGAATAAAATTTGAAAGTATAAAGACTAAAATAGACATTTTAGAAGTATAATGATCAAAATGAACCAAACTCGAAGGTAGATCAACCAATCTAGTATTAAAACAAACAAATTCATAATGAAGTATTATAAATAGATATTTCAAAAGCCATTAATCGTTCCGTTACTAAAAATTTTATTAAGAGTAAAGATTTTGATTAAAAAATGTTGAAACGCTATAACACCAAATTTAATGAGGAGGTTATATTTTAAGAGTTTGATGATTTATTTAGTCAAAGGAGAAAAGAAGTGGTCAACAAAATTTCTGAAGAAAATATAGAATGATGGATTTAAGCAGACCAAGTACTAAATTTACACTTTCTCAACAAAAAAAGGAAAAAAAAAGTACTAAATTTACACTATATATTTGAGAAAAAGAGTAGAAAAATTCCAAAATAGATCCACAGAAAATAACAAAACCTTAAGACCCATCATTTTCACTAAAATCTTATGTTCCCATGTAATCTCCACCATCCTTGCACTTTTGTCCACATGTACCATCCACCATTAAATAAATGTCGTGAAAATCGTTCGGACCAAAAAATTGGAAATTCGAATTTCGATCGTGCAAAAAAAAAAACCACTTATTTCTTGGAGACCCAGCAAAGTACCTACGAAGAAAATGGATTTCGAAAGGTGCATAACCGTATGGATAAGCTCACACCAACTTATTAATGTTGAATCCAATTTAGAATTTTTCTTGAGAGGTATCGAGAAGGAATTAGAATGTAATAATATTGACTCATACAAATGTAGAAAAAGAAAAGGTATCCTCCAAGGTAAGAGTTTTTTTTTTTCTCCTAAGAAAATGTTGAAACTCTTTCAATTTTACCTTTTTGCTGGCAAAAGAAAAAAACGTGATAATGTCACTTCAATCCCTTTATAATAAAGTGTTTAATACCAAATTATTTTTTAGGTTTGATTTTATATTTTTAAATGTTTCAAGTTAAATATTTGAACCAAAAACACTCTACATATGTTTTGCCTTTTTCGTAAAGCATTATTATAATTTTGTGTGAGAAGTATTTTGGAGATGGTACAAATACTTTTTGTCCTTACCAAAACACGTATACCCTAAGTTAAATTGTAGTTCAAAACTTTCTTTGGTTGAAAAATTGTTAAATTTTGTTAAACAAAAAAATATAGGTAATATTTAAATTATTATTTTATTAACATATTTAGATACACCGACATGTAATTGAGAATCCTATTTGACACATGAAATTCAGTCCTCCCATCAATAAAATTTGATATGCTCACCAACAACATCCGTTCTCACGTATCCAAATATTTAACCAAACAATAATTTAATGACACATCAACTTTTTATTAACAAATTTTATTGATTTTTTTTCCCTTTGTCTTTTTAGAATTTTAGAATTATGTTTGAAACCATGAAAACAAAAATGTTAAAAATGGAAATTTAGAATGGGGCTTTGGGGGTCCATAGACCAGATGGTTCAGTCTGTCCCCTGAGACCCTGACCCCCTCCCATCAGTTTGCTTTGTCACTTCACTATTACCCATTTTCAAAAAACCAAATTAAAAAAAATATATTATTATTTTTACCAAACATTTAATATATATATAATGTTAGAAGTTCACCTGTCTTTTAAATTTGGAGATTTATTTTTATTTGATCTCTCAGTTTTAAAAGTTCATAATTTAGTCTAAAAAACTCTTAGAGTCAAATTGTTGTTAGTGTCACTCATGGAATTGGCATTGGCTGACCACATTGTTGTTAATGTGACTCATGGAATTGGCATTTATTGACATGGTCAGTCGATCACCAAGTTGTAGGTTTTTTTCTAGTGTGATAATCATGTTAAGTAGGAGTTCTTAGGTTTTTTGTTTTTTGTTTCATTTTTTTTTTCTTTAAACTCAAATGCCCCATCATTTAAAATTAACACATAGCAAATGTCATTTGGTCCCTTACAGAGTTAGCATTACGTGTGTGACACTAATGACAATTTGACTCCAGAGACATTTTATAACCATTTTTTAAATGTTGGGGATTAAGGTCTCATTTGGTAACGTTTCTGTTTGCTTCATTTTTAATAAATAAAAATGAATTGCATGACCTCAACATTCATGAATTCAGATATGATAAAACAATTTTTTTACTTATGTTTTGGAACAAATTGAAAATTGGGACAAGAAAGGAAAAACTTTTTTGAGATATGTTTCCAAATTTTCTATTCAATTTTGAGAATGTTCCAAAAAAAAAGGAGAAACAAAAAACCTACAAAATGCTTACATTTCTTAAGGAAATTGAAAACGAGAAACAAGAAACGGAAACTTTACCAAATGTGTCCTAAACTGTCAGCTTTTGAAATATATGGACCAAATAAAAATCTAGTCTTAAATTAAGGGACTAAAAAGTATACTTCTACCCTATTTTGTAGTTGATGTTGAATAAATAATTGTCGATTTTTGCCATCAAATAATACTTGTCTTGCATTTAAAGAAATCTCATATTGCCCACTTCCAAATTTGTCGTATTTGATAGCTAAAACACAAGTATCAATCGGTATTAAGCAAGATCATGAAACAAAATATCTATCATCATTGAAATTTTCTATTGTTATCTTTATAAACGGATGCGAGTCGATTGATAATTTTAATATATCATTGAAACGAGGATGAAATGTAACTTTTTCTTAGCAATTTGCATATAAATGTTAATGATAAAAATTTATGACTTGATGGATAAAATACTTATTTATTCATTCAAACAATTTTGGTAATTTCTAAATTTTCATGATTTTTCTAAACATATCTACGTGATGTTTATTGATATTTTCAAATAAAATATTCAATATATTTTTGTGGACAGAAATATTTTGAAAATTAAATTTCAAATTAAAAATTAAAAATATATATGTTATATTTATTTTTTGATATTTATTATTCAAGACAAAAATGATAAGATGATATTTTTGTCCATGCTTTTGCCAGAACAAAAAATCAGAAATTTGATTTTGTTGTTTATAAAATGTATACACTCCATAATCTTACGATAATAATAAATAAATAAAAATCAACCTCGGCTATATATATCTCTCTCTTTTATTATTTATTTATTTTTCTTCTTTGATAAGTACTATAACTCACATTTAAAACAAGTTACTTGAAAAAGAAATAAGTGAATTTCAAACTTTCTAAAAGGCATAAGAAAATGATGGATTTGATTGTTTTTTTTAAACAAAATTATGGATTTGAATCTAATAAAGGCCTTGTGACAAGAAAATTTAATCTTGAGAATTTAAATTATATATTGAATATTTTGAATATTTTACTTTTTTATTTAAAATTTTAGATAACAAGAAAAAGTAACCAAAAAAAAATAGTTACTCTTTTTTGTTCAATAAGTAATTACCGAACACAATTATATTCTTAACTGAAAAAGGAGGCAGCAAGAAAACGATAAAAAGAAAACGAGAAACAGGAAAAAAAAATACCAAACAGGCTGGAAGTAATTTTTTCTTATTTTTTATTCCTTTCTTAATAAAAATAACTGTTCTTCGAATCTTTTAAATAAAAATTCTACTTTAATTCCCTCACTATATATATGTGTGTGTTATTTTATAGTCTAATAGCACCTAATTTTTAAATGGCAATAACCCATTTTGCTCCCTGAATTATTTTAAATTTAATTTAACTGAACTTTCAACTTAAATAAATAATAAAATCAATATGTTATTTAAAACTAAATTAGAAATCATCTAAAAATTACCCCCATGATCCACGAACATAGTTCATTTGATTAAGTCGTTTTTTTAGATATGTTTAATTAAGAAAATAATTATTTGATCGCTAAAATTTGAGTAACAAAACATTTGGAATCTAACTAGCAAAAAGTCTAACCTTCCAAATCAAATATTAAAAGAAGAAAACAATGGGTTCAATTACCTAACATAAAAATATCAAAATTTAAGAAAAAAAACGACATATTCACTAATTATTGCAATTTTGAATATATTGTCAATAATTTATGTCAAGTTAGTATCATGTCAAATTAACATATTGCATTAATGTGAGTATTTATATAATTTATAAAATATTTTTTTTATCAATAATTAACGTAATTTTTTAGAATGTGGGATGGAGATTCCGAGTCTGCCAAATTAGATTATTTGGCCCAATTCGATAACAATTTTATTTTTACTTTTCTGTTTTCTAAATTTATGTATAATTCCTCTCAATTTATATGATATGCTTTTCATGATGATTGCAAACACTTCTGCATTCCTAGCAAAGTTTAAAAAGAAAAACATAATCTTAAAAACTATAATATATATATATATATATATAATATTTAATTTAGTTTATATCTGGAAACATATGTAAGTATTAATAAAACAAAAATGAAAAATGCATGGGTAGAACTAAGAGGCCTTTGAAATACTAAAAATTGAAATCATACATGTATTACAAATTTAGATAGTTATATTTGTTTTGCAATAATATTTATATAATGTTTGGAAGTACTTGCACAGTTATGTTCATTTAAGAGATTTGTACCTGGAAATTACATATTGTACCAACAATATTCTTATCAGCCATTATAAATTGTTTAAGATATATATAATATATATATATATATATTTTTTTTTTAATTTAATTTAATTTAAATTCATATAAAAAGATTGCTTTAATTAATTTAATATTATATATTTATGTCAATTTAATTTATACTAGGTGACTATTGGAATTATTGGAATAGTAAAATGAATAAAAGATTGCACTAAATTTTAGTGGAAAATTAATTGAGATGTTCAACCATGGACTAAAAATTTATTTTATATTAAGTGTGGCATTTAAATATAATTGTATTTAGTAATTTATCAATGAACTAATGCATACATTTATTTTTAAAATAAAATAAAGAAAAAATAAAGAAAATCGAGGAATATATATATATAATAAAAATGACAAAGGATAAAATTGTCAAAAGAATCTATGCTCGACATAGAAATCTTAAAAACCCATGTTGTAGAAAGGCATTAAAAATTGCTTTGATGTCATAGAGCATTCATTTCAAATAAACACAGGAATCTAGATGCCCGCTTCATAAGAAAAAAGTGTCGTTGTTGGAGGTGATTTTTCACCATGCCACGTGTCAACATTAATAAAAGGGAAACAATTGAATCAATGGGAGAACTGGTGCATTGAAGTAAATGAACTTCGGACCTTTCCAGAAAGGCTGAGCCGACCTCTTCCTCCTGCCTCGGCCGCTCGAGATCTAAGCCAAGCCAAGGTCGTAATATCTATAGCGGATGCCTGAGTTAATAGTTGTGTTGAACAAAGAACACTCCTTCAAGAACTGAACTCCGACACAATCTACGACAACACACCGCAATTCTCGGACTGTTGGAGAGTCGTTGGAGGCTTGTCAGAAGCTCCACCTATAAATAGAAACCTTGCATCATTCTCAGGTACGCAAAATTATATTCTCTCTCAAGTATGGATCGACCAACTGACTTAAACGTTTGGAGTGCTTAATGTTTTTTTTTTTTTTAGGTTTCCTACTTTCACATCAGCTTATCTGTCTCAACTATCGCCTGAATCGAACTTACGACTTGATCAAAATCTTGATCAAATAGTCGTCGCGAAATAAACTACTCCTAAAGATTATTAGAAAGACTTGAATAGTTGAACTGTATTTTACCTCTTTCATTGAAAAAAAATAATAAATTATCAAATTTTAAGTATTTTTAATTTTTATAAATAACCTAAAGATCCATGGATTACGCATCAAATTAATGAAAATGTCTAATGTACCCTTAAAGTTAGTATAAAATATAATTTAAAAAGATAAAAATTGATTCAATTGTCAAACTAAAAAAACAAAGGAAAAAATACATTTTTGTTTCTCAGGTTTCGACTGAGTGTCTATTTGGTTCATGAAGTTTAAAATAGACATTTTTAATTCATGTAGTTTAAGAGATAATTCTAAATGGTCTTTTTAACTCATTTGATTGTTAGCTGACCTAACAGAATACTTACTTAATTAGGTCCAATAAATATGTTAACTGCCATGTAAGCATTTTGTTACGTCAAATAACAATTAAATAAGTTAAAGGGTCATTTAGAACTATTTCTCAAATTTAAGGGACTAAAATATACATTATAGAATTTCAGGATCGAATAGACACTCAGTCCAAACCTCAAAGACTAAAAGTATATTTTTTCAAAGAAAAAAAACAGAACAAAACAATTCAACTCAATTGTCGACATTCGAGAATAAAATAAAAATATCTCCATAACAATAAATCTTTTGTTTAAATTTTTTGATTGATAAAATTTCTTATTTATTTTATTTCGGTCCCAAAATTTTTGACATTTTATATAATATCAAACTTTAAATGTTTCATATCTATCTTTAAAGTTTAGATTAAAATTTAATATAATCTTTATAGTTTCTTTTAATTAATTATCTAACATAAATATAATTTCATATCGAAACCTAACATAACTTTTATAATTGATTTCAAACTTTCACTAATCCTAAAATAGGTGAGCGGATAAGATACCTATTATTATCTTTCTAAAAAAATACTTATTATTATCTAAACATTAATAATTACATCCATGCACCATAATTATTCAACTCAAAAAACAAATAAAAATGTTCATTCATGTACATATTTATTTGTTAGATAAATAAATAAACAAAGCATATCCTTAACCAGTATATGTTAAATAATTTATTTAAAAATTAATAAAAAAAAACTAGTACATCTAAAAACTTAGAATATTAGATAAAAACAAACATCGATATTCAAAAACTAAAATAAAATTGGAGCCTAAATTCAAGCTTTATCTACTTCAATTAATCTGTCCAATATTTGCATCCTAATCAATTTTCGTCGATTTTAATATATTTCCACAAGAACATAGACTATATAAAAATCAATCTCAATTATTATTTTTTTAGAGTCGAATCAACCCAACTATAGAAAAAATAATAAAAATTAGGAAAAGAAATAGTAACCAAAAGTTGTGATAGGGCCACAAGTTCTCGTCATCTACGTCGATTCCAAATACTGATTTTGGTATCATTACCAAGTTTCCATTTTCAATATTTTTATCTAAATTTATCATTTTATTATTTAAATAAAAAACAAATTCCCTTTTCTTTAAAATAAATATATATATAAAAAAGAGGGTTTTTATACTGACATACTGTAGAGCCACCGTTCCCAAGAGCTTATATTAATTGCAAGACAGAGCGACAGAACAGTGCCCCAAACCAAAATTTTAAAAAAATAAAATAAAAACTCACAATTTATTTATTTCTAATTTTAAAATTGGTAATACAACAGTTCGCCGGTTGGACCTCCGCCGCCGTGTCCGCAGCCGTCATCCACCCACTCGCCAAAATCAAGCTTCATACCTCAGGAAGAGGAAAAAATGACTAAAATTTTTGGTGAGAAAATAAAATGAAGGTAAAATAATATAAACCCATTTCATTAAAAATTAAAAAAGAATCACAAAGAGAGGGCAAAATGTACCTAAAATGAACAGAAGAGAAGAAGAGGGAAACCCCAAAAAAAGAAAAAGAAAATTACAAGAGATTGAGCCGGTCCGCCAATATCACCACCACTACCGCCGCCGCGCCACGGCGGTCAAAGATCAACGGAAGATTGCCTCCGGAAGAGCCTGCCGGAGCTTCACCAAACCCAGAGCCAGATACTCATTTTCGGCAGAACGCCGCCGTAGATCCGGGCGTATTCCGCCGCCGCCGCGGCCTAGTGAGACTGAA